TGGGAGGGTTAACTTTTTTTTCCCTAAGTTTTGATAACTTCACATAAATGACTCCATTCTGAAGGTCCATGGAGGCTGCAAGGTCTTACTGTGACTCCATTTGTAGGTTTGAGGTCAACAGGGTGTAGACTTGGATCTTGATAAATGTAATTTACTTCTCTGATCATTACTTGCCATGGCATTTTAGACTCTGACACTCACAACTCACAGAAGAGGTTTTTTAGAGAGGTTACAGACTCAAGGACCTGTAGACAAATCAACTAGCACTCCCATTTCTCACAGTGGGTGGGATGGGGGAACACACTCTGCTCCCTTTAACACTGCAGCTTTATTTTCACCACTTTAAACATGATCATATAAGAGACAGAACCCCAAGTAAATTAATGGAATTCACACAGAGTCTATACAGTCTGCACTTTTATATGAGTTAATGCTTTTATGTGTACAGTATACAGGCACACTGGCTTTTACAGCAGCCTCTCCTATTTGTCTGCAGCTCCATTCCAGGAGCAGGCCAATCTTGTGTGTATTGAGGATGGCAATGCAATGCTGGAGGTAGATGACAAACAGCAGCAAACAGCAGCATTTGAGATGCAACAGGACCAAACAAACTGGAACAGATCCCGCCCCCCTCCCCCCCAAACAGTACTGGGTGTACTACCTACTGCCAAGGGCTGCACATAAGTTTCCCTTTACAGTGCAAGATGAGACTTAAAATAAGCAAAGTTGGTTAAATGAAAGCTGTTTTGAAAGGATAGCAAGAAGCAAATATTCTATTTATAAAAAAAAAAAAAAAAAATTGAACCCGGTTTGAAAGAATAGACTCTTTTAACTAACCTCTGTTCTTACTGTGTAAGTTTAAAAAAGCATGTCCATTTTTTTTGCATGCACAGTATAACACAGTATCTTTCAAAGATGCACTTAAACTGTAAAAAATTAAAATTCATGTTCATTCATTGAAGCATATACAGTGATTAAAGTGGCTTTACTCACATGGTAACATATTAACAAGGAAACTGGCCTCTACACTTAAAGTTTTGGAATCAGCAAGCGGGTCCTTTTTGGGAAGAGAAAGGCTCAATGTTTCACATGCCTAGGAAAGTTGCTTTCCTTTTCTTTGAGAACTGCCCTCGCAAAAGAAAACTCCTCAGTCAGAAAGATGGACAGTATTACTCCAAAGGTGTTGCAGTGTTGCTTGATATGGTGGGAAGATCTGTGTAACTAAAAAAAAAATCTAGTCTGCTAGAGCAAAGTAGCCTAAAACATAGGGGAAAAGATATTTGATTTATGGCTTCCTGGACATCCAAAAAACTTTTTACATGTATGAAGTAAGCTGTAAGAGTGTTGTCCTTAGTTTTGTCTGTGGCTGCCAGTGTTTGCAGATATATCTGGCAAGAGCAAAAGAGACGTCCTTCCCCTTGCACATGGCACCTTTTGACCTCTCAGCAGTTACATAGCTTTGTCTCTTTCCCCTTCTGCTCACATCCGTCTTTGACTGTTCCCACAGAACAAATCTCTGCATTTTTCATACTGGCAAGTAGATGCGCTGTTCTTGCACTAGCATTGTCAAGAAAGCAGCAGAATAATAGTTGTACAAAAATATTTCTACAAAGTTGTACAATAGTTGTGCAAAGGTGATCTAAAATGTACTTTTTGAGTGGCAATTTACCCCTGCAAACAGTAGTTTACAAGCAGTTCTAAAAGTTTTCACTGTTGAGATTTCATTTCACAAACACATTTTATCACAAGGAATAAAAAATTGGAAGGGCCATTGGTTTAATTTCATCTAAAAAGTCTGATTTAAAATGCTCTCCTTCAAATAAATGTGTTTCATAAACTTCAGCTGCCTGATTTCTCTTTACATGTTGTTTATGTGATGGCAAAAACTACGAAGGATTTACAAGGCTTGTGTATTGCTCCACGGTGCACCAGTTGTCAGCTCCAAGGTCACAGCTTTATTAAAGGATCAAGATTTACAATAATGTTAACAAGAGCATGAATGCCTTCACAGACACCTTCCTGTAGTTTACTTCCCTGAAGTCACCTGCACAATTTCTCCCCCTGCCAAAGCTACTAATCAATAAATACTGCGGTCTCCTGAAGAAAGTTCAAGTGGATCTATCATGTTGCTTTAGTAATAAATCTTTGCTTTTGTTTAACACCTGCCTTCAAAAGACATAACCTTTTTTACCTGCAGTAATTAAACTTCCTAACAGCCTTATTTGGTGATTAAAACCTGCTCCCTTTTTAAAGATTGAGAAACTGATGCATAAGACCATGAAGTCATACAAGAAGAATAAAAGACTTGGAAACCCATCTCTGCTGGCCTCCCATGTGCTGAGGCTGAAGGCCATGCTGCCTGTACCCCAATGGCAGTTGTGTAGCATCTCAACTGAGGCTTCTGTAATTTTTCCTTTTCCTGTACTGTCACAACCTGTCTAGGTTGCCCCTGAAGGTGTGGTGTCATCCTCACTGATACAAGCATGTACAAGAAGCTTGTGTCAGCAGGCTACTTAGCACTTAAGGTGTAGCTCTGTGTCTTCTTCTGGCTGTCCCTGCAGTGCTGATGAGGTTACTGCCACCAGCTGCTGCTGGTCACCCGCTCTGTTGACTGGTCTGGCTGCCTGCTCCATTCCATGGAAGATAATCAATCACTTTAAACAGTAGGGGGTTTGCCGGCCTATGAACAGCCCAGATAACCCTTATCAGCAGGGATGAGAGCAGGATAGCAGTAACCTCCTGAGCTAGCACAGCCATGGGTGTGGCTTACCAGAGGACAACTTACCACAGCATGTCAAATCCCAAGCATGTCTTCCCCTGGGAGATCCCTGCCCAAGGAGTTCTCCCTTTTCTGCCAGATTTTCTCCCAACCTGAAGTATGAGCAGCAAATATCCCAGCCCAGGCAACTTATTTTACTTTGGACCAAAGGCTTTGGAAGTGCTTCCCTTGAGAGTTTCAGAACTCTTGGTACTTAGAGGCATGCAAATTTTTTTTCCATGTGGTCTAATAAGAAGGTATTCAGGTAGTGATTGGCTTTTGTTGCGCTGTCTCTGTTCTTCCTTAGGAAGATACTAACATTAATAGCTAATAGTCATTGTGACAGATACTGAACAAGAACATCCTTCACAGAATCACGGGATGGTTCATCTCTCTCATCCTCACCTAAAGAGAGACCTCAGCTTCAGCTTCATTCCCTGCAGGTCCCTCTCCCCTCCAAACCAAGAGCCCAATGGTGTCATGGGCATTGCCTCTTGCTGCTGACCACTAGCAGCTACAAGAACCAGCTCTGATGGATGTCTAAAGCATTTAGGTTTTCATTTGGTTTTGAAATGCTGGAGTCTGAAAGCATATGTGAACCACAGCTCTTAATGTTTTGCACTCTGCTTTTCCCGAAAATCTAACCGCAGGCCCGAGAGAGAGGGGGATCTCCCCACCCAGAGTTCTCCTCTGAACATCTGACTATGGTACAGACAGCTGCAGTCAAGGACACAGGGGAATCAAGATGAAGGATCCATTTTCTCTCAGTCCTAGCACTGGAATAGGTTGCCCAGAGGAGTTGTGGAAATGTTCAAGTCCAGGTTTGGATGGAGCTCTGAGTAACCTGGACTAGTGAAAGGTGTCCCTGCTCAGAGCAGAGCAGATGGAACTAGATTATCTTTGAAGTCCCTCCCAACCCAAACTATTTTATAATCTCTGAGCAAAAAAAGACCAGGCCTAGTCTGAATCTTAGATTTATTATGTTTACAACCTTCACAAATTAATATTGTTGATATAGTATCTTCAAATCTGTTTCTCCAAAGTCTTCTCTGCCTGGAGAAGTCTGTTGGCATCAGTATAGAGCAGATATTCTTTAAAGTTCTTATTCTGAAAAACACAGTCATACCACTGAATTAAGGTTGTTTTTTTTATTTTAGAAATTTTTTTTGGTTTTTTTTTTCTTGTTCAGGATCATTCAGAAGGCCTGCCCCAACTCTCAGTAATGCCACTAAAACTACTCCTTAAAATCACCGCTAGTGCCGGTCACAGAATTCCAGCATCAGTTGAGTTGGAGAAGACCTCTGAGATCATCAAATCCAATCTATGACCGAACACCACCAAATCAGCTATAGCACAGTACTAAGTGCCACATCTTTTCTTAAACATCTCCAGGAATGCTGTTGCCATCACCTCCCTGGGAGGCCCATTCCGGTATTTAATCACCCTGAAGAAATTCCTCCTGATGTCCAACCTAAACCTCCTCTGGCACAGCTTGAGGCTAATTCCTCTTGTCACGTCACTCGTTAATCGGGACAAGAGGCCGATCCCCACCTGGCTACACCCCTCCTTTCAGATAGAGAGCGATAAGGAGCATCCTTTTCTCCAGGATCAACAACCCCAGCTCCCTCAGCCGCTCCTCACTGGTGCTCCAGACCCCTCACCAGCTTTGCTGCCCTTCTCTGAACTCGCTCCAGCACCCCAGTGTCCTTCCTAGATAAGGCCCCAGAACTGAACACAGATTCGAGGTGCGGCCTGACGGGTGCCGAGTACAGGGGACCGGACGATTCCATCCAGAAACACCCCGAAGGCTGAGCGCTGCCACCGTGCAGGCTGGCGAGCGCCGCTGCTGCGCGGAAGGGCTGCGGGGCGGGCGCAGCGCGGGGGCGGAGCGGAGCGGAGCGGAGCGGGGAAGCCTCACGGACAGGGCGGAGCGGGGGCCGTGTCGTAGCGGCCCCGCCGGGCCGGGAGGCGATCGCCATGGAAACGCCGGCCCCGCCCCTGCCCCCCCGGGTGCCGCCGGGAGCGCGGCCGGAGCTGCCGGGTCCCTCCTCCCCGGGCAGCGCCAGGTAGAGCGCGGGGCGGGGGCCGCCGGGGCCGGGCGGGCGGAGCCGCGAGGGGCGGCGGGCGGAGCGCAGGCCGGGCTCGTTCCGCTGCCCCGCCGCAGCTCGGCCCGGATCCCACCCGGTGCCGGTGCCCCCAGCCATCCGCTCTCGGACCCCCGGCAGCGCCTCCCGGGAGCGAAGCGGGGCCGGGCTCTCCTCGGCCCGCCAGGGCGGGGCTTGTTCGTCGTCCCCGATCCTGGCGGAGAGGCCCGTACGTGTTGCCATGGCCGAGGGGGCCGCGGCGGCCCCGGCGTGCTTCAACGAGGATGATTTTTACTGCCCGGTGTGCCAGGAGGTGTTCAAAACGCCCGTGAGGACCGCCAACTGCCAGCACGTGTGGGTATCCCGACCCCCCGCCCCTTCCCAAGCCTTTTCCTCGATTCCTCCTGCTCTCCGCCTTGTGCTCCTCGGCTCCCCCCGCTCCCGGCGCACGGACCCTCGGCCTGGAGACGCTGGCGGTGAGGATGCGAGCCCGGTGCTGCTCCAGCCTCCCCTCGCCTCTTTCTTTTGTAGCCGACGAGGACCGGTGGCTTAGGAGGAGCCCCCCCACCTCCCCGGGTGTCTGCTCGGCGGTGGGGGAGTTGTGCTGTGCTGTCTGAGCTGATTCGCGGTTTTTAACTTCATGGTTTTCCCCGTTCCTTTTCGAACAAGGACGGTAGTGTGAGTTGTTCTCTCTTTTCAGTTCATCTATTCAGCATTTTTTTTTTCCAGAGGGACGTTTGATTACAACGTGCTACTTTGTAGAAAAGCAAAATAGCTTTGGCAGCTGGTGCGTAAGGAAGGAGGGCTGCAAAAGCTGGTGACCTGAGGTCTCTGGAAACGCGTGCTGAATGAAGCTTTGCAGTGGTTTTTGGCTCCGCTTAAGGACAATAAACAGGAGTTACGCTGATAAGATTGTCTAAAATCACGTGCTTGCTGCACCATTTAATATCTCATTAGTGATCAATCTGGTATGCAGCTCGGTAATGCCACTCAATAAATAAGAAGAGTTTTATCTAGAGTGCATTGCCAAGCTCCCCTGATTTCCATATACTTCATCGTAAGCACCATTGTTTCTTTTAAATGTCAAACTTGTATTTGGTAAACTATTACTCTGATACTTCTCTTTTTTTTTTTTTCCTGACAATCGTCCAGCTCTCTTCAAGGACAAAGTATCCAACTCTGTATATTTTGCTAACCTGTGTTTGTGGTAACTTTTCAATTTAGGTTTTGCAGGAAGTGCTTCTTGACAGCTATAAGGGAAAGTGGAACACATTGTCCTCTCTGCCGGGGGAGCGTGACTAAAAAAGAAAGAACGTATCCCAAAAGGGCTCTAGATGTTGAAAACAGTATGAAGAAAGCTTCTGGGGGCTGTAGATGCTGTGAGAAGCAGGTAGAGTAAAACTTTAAAAAAAGTTGAATAAATTGTTTGTGGTTTTGTCCAGACACGCCTTTACTATGTGTCATTCTCATCTTGGAGCTGAAGAGCCTATAGCAATTTGAACTTAGCTTTGTGTGGCTTGTGCAAATACTGGGCATGCAGTGCCTGCTAGCTGTAGCCAACAGGTGTAAACTGAAAGAGCATCTTGACTTGTCAATAAAGGCATTTTAAGTGGAGTGCCAATTTTCCCCTGAAAAGATGGAAAAAATGGATATAGCTATAAAACTGGCAAAAGGAAAGTTAAGGAGCTGAACATGAAAATTGCAGATATATGGAAAACCTCAGAAACTCTCAGTATGGAAATGCAACTGCTTTGAGCTGCTATGAAATTTAATTTAAAACTGAAATATGTGAGTTGATTAGTTGCAGTGCCCACATGATCAATCATATGTAATTTCCTCCTTCCCCATCAGTCCTTTTACATTCCTTTCATTTCCTTTCTAAAGGAATCATTATTTTTGGAACACTGGGTGAAATCTTGACCCTCACTGAAACCAAAAGTTATGTCTCTTTTGATATAAACAGATGCAGGATTGCTGCCATACTTTTTGTTTATAACAAAATGCATCAAGTCCAGGTAGTCTTTATGTTGGTTTCATTTCACTTGGGACTTCTGCCAATGTGAAGATCAGCACTAATGGAACCCTCAGCTGCTTGCATTGTTCCACATGATTCATTGGGGTGAAAAGTGGGGAAAAAGAAACGGATAGCAAGTTGGTAAACTGGACAGAAGAACCAAACAGAATAATTTTAATGGAATTTAGGCACAGGCATGTGAGATACGATCTTGTTCAGCCTCTAGACCTGTGAGCACCTTCTGACAGTGCTGTTGGACCTGAAATTCAGGGACATGTCCAACACAGCTGTCTTCTGGCAAATGTAAGCAACTCATTCTCTTAATTTGAATTAAAGGTCAATAGGCAGCCTTAAGTTGGTGATCATTCACCTATTTGTTTCCCTCCCCTGCCAATGAGTAAACGAACACACCTAATGCAAAAAGAAAATGTTCCTTGCATGAAGTAACAGGAGGCCAGAGAAGACTGAAGGAGCAGTGGTGCTTATGCCATCCTCAGAGCCACTCTCTGTTCTAGCTCATCACCTATTGATCCTTGATCTGGGAGGTGTAGTTCCATTGACTTTGTTTCAGTTAAATGGTGTTTTCTTGCATCTTTTATCCCTGAGAGAGCTCTCAGATGTCCAGCAGTTTGAGTGGCAATGCTCTCCAGTCTCACAGAGTGACACTGGCTCTGAGGAGAGAGGAAGTGGAGATGTCCTGTTGGTGAAGAAAGTGTTCATGCTCAGAAGGGAGACACAAGTTCTGGTTTCTGCTGCACATGAGGTCTAAATAATTCCTGCATGTATTGTTTTCTGTTGGCAGAATTATCTCTTCCTTCTATCTACCCCTGGATTGTTCAGTATGATTTCAGTAATTTGGGATTTTATTTTCAGGTTAGATTTTCATGGATGAGACAGCATTATAAAACGTGTAAGAAGTATCAGGATGAATATGGTGTTTCTTCAATTATGCCAAACTTACAGATTTCCCAAGACGCAACAGGGAACAGGTAATCAGGGTGTTCTATGTGTAACAGTGCAGCTTCTTTCCCCACCCCCTCCCCACATTGAGAGTGTTTTTTTCCAGGGCATTTCTTCTTTTTGCATTAATATCCATATTTTATGCTTCAGAATAGGAGTTTTTCCAGGTCTTTTTCTCTACTCTTAGCAGACAGAAGAAAACTTTTCTGCATGATGGCTTTGAAATGTCTTCTAGAGACTCTCCTGAAAAGTATTTAATATTTGTAGTTTGCTTTCCTTGCCTTGACAGCATTTGAGCAGTTTACTTTGTAACATATTTAATAATATTTACCTCTGGAGAACTTCCTGTCTATTTTTATTCCCCCTCCCCTTTCCTAAGTTTGTTTAAGTGGGTATCCTGTTTCAAAACATTGCTGTGCAAGCTTTTGCTTTCTGATTGAATTTATTTTGAACAGATTTCTTAGGAAATATATAAGGAATTCCAGTGTGTTACCCGCCATAAAATCAAATGACACTTGCCATTTGTTTTCAGGCAGTAAAGCTAACCTTTTTTTCATATGTTCTCACTGATGGTAGGGTTGGGAATTTTTGGTTATTTTTGAAAATCTTTTTATATGTGTATTTTTTTTTTGCCATTGATTTTCTATTTTTAGCAGTCTAAACTTCTCTGTGCTTGGTTTTCAACCCATCAGTCTATTGAAAGTTGAAGCTGTTACTGGAATTAGCTGCAGCAATGTTTCACTGAAGTTATTCTGATATCACTATTTATGCAGTTTGCTACATATAATACCTGTGATTGTAATATCACAGAAGTATAAAAAAATTTACCGTTACTGTATTTGTGACTGTAAATATTCATGTTCTTAGCATGTCTGTACAGTTTCTTCTGGCTTAGCTAGAGGTGCATATACAGTCAAATTTACTTTCTAAAATGTTCTTCTGCTTTACCCTTCCTTTAGGAAAAAAGTTTGTTTTGTGCTCAGCATAGGAAAACTTATCTTGTTGTAGTTGAAAGCTGCAAATTATTTGTGTGAATACGTGGCAGTTAAAGGCCTTTTACCCCTTCCTAAGTCAAAAAACTTCGAAATTGTTACCTGTCTCACATTCATATAGTTCATAATGATTTCATAATACTTGGCTGTCACCTGCATTGCCAATCTTGTTGACTAAATGTTTGTTGTATTATATATCATTTTCCTGTGAAGTTGTGTAGCATACCACCAAGCATCACCATGGTAATTAAATTATCCAGAGAGGTCCCAGTTGGTTGGAAATTAGCAAATGTAATGCCCATCTACGAGAAGGGTCAGAAGGGTAATCCAGGGAACTATAGACCTGTCAGACTGACCTTGGTATATTGGGGAAGGTCATGGAGCAGATCATCCTGAGTGTCATCACATGGCATGTGCAGGGCTACCCAGGAATCAGACCTAGCCAACATGAGTTTACAAAAGTCAGGTGCTGGTTGACCAACCTCATCTCCTTCTGTGACAAAGTGACCTGCGTAGTAGATGGGGGAGCGACTGTGGATGCTGTCTAGACTTCAGGAACACATTTGACCCCATCACACCGTAGTCTTCTAGGAAAGCTGGCAGCTTATGGCTTGGACAGGTGTGCTCTGGGTGAAAAAAACTGTCTGCATGGCCAAGCCCAGAGGGAGGTGGTGAATGCAGTTACATCCCGTTGGCCTCTGGTTACCAGTGGTGCTCCCCAGGGTTCAGTTTGGGGCCACTCCTGTTTAATACCTTTATTGATGATTTGGATGAGGGCATTGGGTGCTCCCTCAGTGAGTTTGCAGATGACAGCAAGGTGGGTGGGAGTGTTGATCTGCTGGAGGGCAGGAAGGCTCTGCATGGGGATCTGGACAGGCTGGATCAATGGGCTGAGGCCAATGGTGTGAGTGTGAGGTTCAACAAGGCCAAATGCCAGGTCCTGCACCTGGGTCACAACAACCCCAGGCAGTGCCACAGGCTGGAACCAGTGGCATCCTGGCCTCCATCAGAAATTGTGTGGCCAGCAGGATAAGGGCAGTGATTGTCCCCTGGTACTCAGCACCAGTCAGGCCACGCCTCGGATCCTATGTTCAGTTCTGGGCCCCTGAATCCAGGAAGAACATGGAGGTGCTGGAGTGAGTTCAGAGAAGGGCAATGGAGCACAAGTCCTGTGGTGAGTGGCTGAGGCCAGCTGGGGTTGTTTATCCTGGAGAAAAGGAGGCTCAGGGAAGACTTCATTGCTGCAGTTACCTGAAAGGTGGTTGTAGTGAGGTAAGGGTGAGTTTCTTCTGCCATGTCTTGAAGTGAAAGAATGAGGTGAAATGGCCTCACCATTTAAGTTGCACATGGGGAGGTTCAGATTAGATAGTATAAATTTTTTTTTACTGAAAGTGTGGTCAGGCATTGGGATAAATTGCCCAAGGTGGTGATTGAGTCACTGTCTCTGGAGATGTTCAAGAGGTGTCTGGATGTGGCACTTGGGGATATGATTTTGGGGTGATTATGGTGGTGCTGGGTTGATAGTTGAACAGATAATCTTGGAAGGTTTCTTTCAGCCTTGATGATTCTGTGTTCAGTTCTGGGAATACCTTGATCCAAAGGAAAAGTTGTGAGGGTTAGGATGTGTACCATTGTATGTTGCCTTGACATTCATGGGACTTAATGTATATTCCCTTCCATCTCTGTTACTGTTAAACTTTTAAAATGTTGATAGTTGAGTAAAATAATCTCAAGTTTATTTTTTTTCTTTCATTTAAAGTAGCAGGAGTGATGCTATACCTGATACTGGCGAGATGGCAAATAATCAAATACTTCAAGGAGAAACAAGGTAGGTTGCTCACTTGTCTATAGTTGTTATTAAAATAGATTCTGATAGTTGCAGTGAAAACTTCTGCTAATGCAAAAACCAAAACACAAAAAACCCACACAAAAGCACCAGGAGCTGTATTTATAGAATCCTGTAGTTTCTTGTACACTAGTATCTGTTAGAATTTGGGTATTTTAGTACTTTCCTGAAGGATTTGAAAGGTGTTACAAGAAAGCAAAACCCAGGTGTAGCTGCAGTGGGAACAAAAGAAGCCCAAGTCTCAGAAGAGTGCATTTAGGCATGCTAATTTACAATTAGTAAATTCAAAATTGCAAGGTGGTAGTAGCACTGGGACACCTTTAGATCTGCTAATATGTCAGTGGGGGTGTGGGGGGTTTTTTGTTGCTAATCAAAGCAAGGGAAAACAATGATAGCTTCATTCATATGCTTTCTTAACACTTCTTCTGAAACTCTTTTCTGTTTAATGCTCTTGTATTTCTGTTTACAGTGGACACCCAACCTTCAAATGCCCCCTGTGTCAGGAGGCCAATTTTACCAGACAGCGTTTGCTGGATCACTGTAATAATAGACATCTTTATCAGATCGTTCCTGTGGTAAGTAGAGCTGCTTATGTGTCTTTCTTAAGCTACTTTCATTGTAATTATGTGGACAATTTTAACTGTGCAGTCGCTACTCTATATCTGTAACAATCACTGTGGTTTGAGAAAGGCAGACAATACACTTCATGCAGTGCATTTAAATTGAGGAGTGACTTTGATGTGAAAACGTTTCATGTCCAGCCTGCTGATTTTAAGATATTTCTGAGTTAGTTGTCTCACTTATCTTGGTGTGAAACAGGCTCAGTTTTTGAGCCTGATGCTTAACTCTTGTTTATTTGGTAGTTCAGGATTATAGAATCCCATTTGTAACGTAACTAATGTTTCATGTGAAACATACAGTTACTTTAAAAGTAATCCAAGGTAACCAAAGGGTCTGAAAAAGAAAAATCTGTTTGGTTTTCTATTATTTTCATCTGTATAGAGTGGTTATTTTTCCTTTTGGCCTAATTGATCATCTCAATTTTATGAAAACCCAAACAGTAAGTAGGATGCAGTAGGCACTTTCTTTTCAAAATTAACTCAGACAGATATGATAGAAATCGACCAAGTTGAAATGTAGTTTTTGAATGTTACACAATTGAGGAAAAGCACACTTAGCAGCATGATTTGATGTTAATGTCTTACTGTATTTTGATAGTGGATGAGTAATAGACTAGTTATTCCAGTAGAACATGTCTTTAATGCATTCTGTATTGCCAATAACTTTTTTTTTTTTCATTCTGTCTCTTCTTTTCCCCCTCCAAATTCAGATCTGTCCTATTTGTGTATCTCTTCCTTGGGCAGATACTAACCAGGTTACTAGAAATCTTGTTAGCCATCTAAATCTAAGACACCGGTTTGACTATGGAGAATTTGTGGTAAGCTTTTTCTTCTTTGATATGTGGAGGAATAAATGGTAACTTTTTTCCTAAAAATCAAAATGCCAAATAAAAATTTTGTACCTAACATGTGCTCTGGACATGCTGTGTTCCTGTTCTTTATGGAACTCAGAAGCAGACCTGTTTGTTTGTTATCAATATGAAGTGCTACTGGGAATAGGTGTTGTCAGTAGTCAGACTGCTCCAAGCTGATGAGTTAAGTCTTTGGCTTAGTGTTCTCAATCTGAACTATTTATTGCTTTTATTCTGTTTATTAGAACAGTTTATTACTGCTGTTTCTGGGGGAAATAAAATAGATGCTACTCTTTTTTATGGACATTATTGACCTTTTAATGCAGAAATTGTGAAGTTATATACTCAGGACTTAATGTGCAGCTTGACTAGCTGGTATTGCTGCTACAGCTGCTCTTCCTGTATGTTGTGAGAGAGACTGAAAAAGAGATGTGTCACTTAATCAGTGTTTAGGTTGCCTCTTTTCAGGCTCTCTTTGAGTAAATGACCTTAAGTAGATGGAGAACTACATAAACAGACGTAGTCAGTAGCTGATTCGTAAATCAAGCCAACCATTTGGGTTCTGCATGTGGGATCAGAGAGCTGGAGAGTTTGTGGCTTTTTCTACAGTTTGACAGTCTTTGGGGTGTGCAACAGGTATAGTATTTGAGTCACAGGCAGCCTCACTGGGTCAGGATGGCAAAGATTATGTATCTTGTCCTTTGAGCTGAGTGAGCTGTGATAAAGGCCTGAAGAGCTAGGGTTTGATAGGGGGGATTGGGCTCTTCACTATGAGTGCATGTATGATGACCTAAAACTGGTGATAGGAATTCTGATTTGGGGAAACTGCCAGAATAGCGCTTACAAGATTCATCACTCTGGCATATTAAGAACTTGGAGGATATTCCTGCAAAAAGTAGTAGACTTTTTGTGTTTTGTGTTTGCTTTCCCATTTGAGGCAATGTATTCTCAACAATCTATGATTACTGTTGTCTGGGGATGCCATTTTGTTTTTATTAATGGAAGATGTTGTGGCTGGTTAGAAGCCCTGTTAAAAGGATTGTGTGACACAGTCAGCTTTCCTGAGCTGGCTGTTCTGTAATGCAGTTGAGCCAGGGAGAGAAGATGGACCCTTCTGCTTAATGAGCCTTGTCCCACTCTAGTGATTCTTCTCCTGTCTCATATGTCTCTCAGTACTTGGTTCAAGAAAAAGATTCTATGCAATATAAACAATGATCTAGTAGCATAGAGTCTTTGTCTAGGTGCCATTTCCTATGTAATAACATAGCAGATTAATGATTAAACTAATGACTATGCTACATGTTGAGTATTTGTCCATTTTGATGATGTTTTCATTTTGTTTAGAATCTTCAGCTTGATGAAGAAGCCCAATACCAAAATGCAGTTCAAGAATCCTGTCATGTGAACTTTTAAAGTAGAGCCCCCTTCATCTTCGTACTGATTATCTGAAAGAAAAATTACTTTATTCTGTTGGTGATCCAAAGGGTATATTAATAAAAATGTTTTTCAGTACCCACTTTTTGGGCTAAGCTTCTTTTCCCACTCATAAGGACTTCTGATAAATGATTTTGCTGAAACTCAGGCTTGACATCTTGACTGGGTTCTGCCCCTATGGAAGTAGGGACATTTTTGGAACTTCTCACTCTTGTCTTGATTTTCTCTTAACTTTTACTACTCTGTTAACTACATGTTCATATGATTAATGTAGGATGTTTTAATTCACCAAAACCTACTTTGAAAGTATCTTTAGAAAGACATGCAGTGATGCTCTGTTGCACTGTTGGGTTTCTTCAAGTTCAGCTGTCTTCTAAGGTATCTTATGAGATGATAATTTATTTTTTTTCTCTTCCTGCCAAGGACAGGCATTTGTCCTGCCGAGGACTAATTTTATTTTGATATTGTGATTTGTTTTTTACTATTGCTATGTGACTGAAAATAACAACAGCTTAAAATATTAAAAAATTCTTTTCTACTGATCAACAATGCAGAGCAGAGCTTTTTTTCACCTTTCATTGAGAAAGAATGATGCCATTGCCTAGGAATAACTAAATCTATTTTTTCCTCTTTGGGAATAACTAAAATAGGATGCTTGCTTACTAATGTGATGAGGCATATTATCTATACTCCTAAGGAAGATTACATATTTTCTGAGCAATTCAAGATGACATGCAAAAGGTTCACTTTATTGGCCTATGCCTGTGACCAGGTCTTGCTGGAGCTTTTTAAGAACTTCTAGTTTTGCATTTGGAATTGAAGTTTTGGTCTGTCCTGTCTTTCATGGAAGGCTGTGTAGCTAAATAACTAAACCGGCTTCACACCTACAAAAACCTTTTATTTTTGTAAAGCTGTTTAAAATTTGTACATCTCCTGCACCCAAAGGCTTCAAAAAACCATTGAGAAGAAAGGAACTTACTCTAAAATAGTGACCAACATCCTTTAAGAGTTCCTGTTCTAGATTTCCACCTTCTCAGCAAGAACCTTGTTAAAATTGGAGAAAATACAAATAATGGAATTTTGCATTTAGATGGAAAATCCATTTGTAAAAACTTTAAGATCCTTTATATTATATTAAAAGGGACAAGGGGAAAGAAGGCTGCACAGCATACATTTTGGTATTTATTAAATAGAGAGTGTTCTGAACATACACCTGCTAGGACTAACTGCATTCTGTGTTTCCATCACTCATTGTCAAGCTATTGTTATTAATGAGCATTGCATATGTGGTGGAAAACATCCCCAGTAATTTGTTTTAGTCTAGATGGTGCTTTATGTGTCATAATATCAGTTGTGCTGCCAAAGTACAGTCTGCTTCTTGTGCCCTGCCTCCCTGTTCCTCTCCAAACAGAGGTTTTGATTATTCTTTAAATGCTGAGATATTTCATATTCCAAAACTGGTAAGGTTGAAATGCCTCATTTTACAATATAATGTGTTTCAGAACTGAAAGTTCTAATTTATTGAGTGTTGGAACTAACCCACTATACATTTTAACTTGCCTTTTCTATTCTAATTTTGAGTGTAAAACGTTACTAAAGGCATTGCTGGCTAAAATTCAGAGAAAGTTGTTTATTTCAGAAATAGCTGTCTATTTCAAAAACTGTGTTTGAAGCTTATATACTTTTTTATAACTACATTTTTTGCATTTTGTTACTGTCTCACTACAGTATTTTGACAGCAGACCACACTTGGAACTTGTTTGCCCACTTGTTTCCAGTTTGCCCTCATACAAGTCTGTGTATTCTCACTTGTCTGTCATCTCTAGTGCTTGTGTGACCACATTGGTTTGGAGTGGTTCACTGAGCCAACAGAAAAAAATGTAGATTTTTACATTTGCTCAGCAAAGCCAACTATTAAATAGTGCCCTTATACAGAAAAGAATGTCAAGGTACCCTGATGAAGTTTTACCTTTTTAAAATAAAACCACATACTATGGTGATTTATTACTGCATACATTTCCTATGGAGTTTAACAGTTAGATGTAAGTCTAGTGAACTTTTTTAGATTCAACAAAATGTTTATATGATCTGGCAATAAATGCCTACAGCCAATACAGATTCTGAATGCCTCATGGACGCTGGAACTAGTTATTTCTACTACTTGAATATATCTTGGGAATTACGAGTGAGATGACATCTGTTTTAAAACTCTGGGAAACAATGTTTTCTATAGCAATAAATAGTTGTCACTTGATGCATAGTTCTGAGCATTTTAGTAATGTTTAAATGTTGAGAGACTTGAGTACACATTTTAAAGCAACAAGTGTGTATTAATGCAATACAAAAAAACCTTTCAAAATGTTTATCCTCTTTATTTAAAATCTGTATTGGCAGGTGCTGCCTTGCTTAAGATTTTGTACTTTTAATATTAAGAGATTGCATCCAGTACATTCACTAGGTAAACGTTTAATGAAAATTAAATTATTTGACTATGTTGCTGCTGGTCATGATCTTTCTCACTGAAACTCAGACATGCTCAAAAAGCTGTGTATTTGTGATGGGTGATGCCCAAAACATGAAATTTTTACTAGAAGATTGCTTCTTAACAATGTTTTCATGTTCATGTTGCATTATGTATAGTTTCAATATGTTATGTTTGAATTGTACCTTCTGGGTTTTTTCCTATTAAAGTATTTTATTTTCTATTTGTCTTTTTGTTGCATAATAAAGATGATCAGTTCCCTTGGTGCTACTTCTTCCTTTTCAGATGCTTTCTAAAACTTAAATATATGATCAGTGTATGTCTTCACACTTTGAGTTATTCAAACAGTGTGTGTGCTGCTGGAATGATGAGATGTGACTGGTGATGCATCTGTGAGCTGAGACAAGACACCTTAAATCATACCTTGGGTATTTCCAACAAGCAGAAAAGATTATGGGTTGGCCCAAATCTGGTTTGTGCATATTTTCCTGTTTCCATGTTTGTTTGTTGCTGTTCCATGTAATGTAAATAGAGAAATAACATTCTAAAAGGAGACAGAAAGAGGTATTGGGGTCATGAACAAACCTTGTTATTTAAAGGTTTTCTGAGAAGATTTAATGCTTTTCTGAAGAAAGAATTACCAGTAAATTTGGGCTGCTTACAAGTTTTAACCAGCAAAGTGGCAGCTAGATGATTTCTCCTTCTGCCCTTTGTTGTTGTGCTGAAAAAAACTGGTTATTGCTTGTGCTTTTGCATTCTAAGGACACACAAATACAGTAATAAAATTGACTTAATGTGTTCATTTAAATGACAGAAATTAACAAAACTATGTAAATTTCCTTTTTATTAATTTATTCTTTCCCCATATAATCTAATTTTCTGATCTCTAAGTAAACCTCTGTATCTCCTGAATCTCTTAATTAGCCCTTTGTTAGAGATTTCATTTGATTTGATTTTATTACAGCAATTCATATTTCACTACTTAGAGAGAATGCATATGATGTGTTTAATTTTCATGGGCAGTATCTTGGTTATAGGATACTTGAGCTCTGTAAAACTGCCCTTGTTTCTATAGCCTTAAGCCAGGGCCTTGTTCCCAGGGAGAGAGGGGGATCTTTGTGCATCCTGGTTATCTTCTGACAGATAGTTGGGACAGGTAGTTGGGACTAGAAGGCTTTCTATGTTTGGGAAGCATTTCTGGGTCCCTCTCTTTTAGATTTGACTTTTGAGTCTGGTGAGATTTGAATGAGTGTCTCTGTGACTCTGCTATAAAAGAGTGAATGGTGTATTCTTTTATATCCTTTGTTTTATGCAGAAACAGACACGTGAACTATGAACACTTTTAGGGGATGGGACAGTGGTAAAGTGCACATTTGTGAAATGACTACTTAACCTGGCATCCTTTAAGGCTCCTTTGTTGCAAGACAGAAGAGCCACAAGAATGTCTGATGAAGACATCTTCAGGTTTCTTTTAGAATTGGAGAAACAAGCAATAAAAGGGCACAAAAACTACATAGTGTGTTTTCCATACAGAGTACATTTGCTCCAGAAATCATGTTCTTTTGTTGCCTGTTGTGGCTGGTGTCTGTAATGAGGCATTTCAATAATGTTAAAACTTCTACTTCCCTGGGAATTGCCAGACTTACTAGGGTCAAACATGGTTTTGTTGTTTTTTTTTTTTTTCTCGTGAGTAGAGTAGGTCTGTACTGTTTCTTATATTTCTCAAACTTTAGGTCTGCTTTGGGAAGGACCAGTTTTCACCTCTTAATTTTCCAGCTCTAACCAGCCTTATTTTATCTGTAACATTTTTGTGGACATGATCAGGAAAGAGCTAAAAAAAAGAATTTTACATTTATTGCCTCACCACAACTTACATTGTTAGGAAATTGAGGGCAAGGAGGGAGGGAGGAGCCATCACTGCCGAATGCATTCTGTGAAGTAGCATTTAATTATATTTCAAATCTGTGCCTTAAAGTACTCTGTATATATTTAGAGGCATTCCTCAGCTCTGTAAAGCTGTAGGTTATTTCCCAGGGCTTAGAGACAGAATACTGTTTTTATGAAATTGCTTAATCTTACGAGGATGTGTAGTCACTGAGAAAAGTGCTTCTCACTATTACTTTACATTCTTTTCCTCCTGTTGTGTTTTTCTCACTCATTTTTTCACTGAATGGCTTGGGTTAGAATGAACTTAAAGATAATCTCATTCCAACCCCCTGCCAAAAGCAGGGACACCTTCCACTGGACCAGGTTGCTCAAAGCCCCATCCAGCCTGGCCTTGAACACTTCCAGAGCTGGGGCACCCACAGCTTTTTTAGGTAACCTCTTCCAGTGTCTCACTACCTGGTTTCCTCTATGTGCATTTCCCTACAGCAGTTCTCATAAATATACACTACCCATTTCCCTCCCACTCCCTTTTCTCTCTTCTAAAGTAGTCATCAATTAAATTGCTATGATTATATTACTTGGCTACTAATTATTGTTTCATATTCTGTATGTTTTATAAACTCCTCTGGCTGTGCCCTTAATATGGGGCTGGTGTGGGCCACAGGGGTAAATACAGTAACTAAGAAGCTTAGCACCAATAATTTATGGAGTTC